CCGAAACTCAGTATAGCTATGAAAACGACTACGTAAGAGTTTAGTAAACTTGTGCCCTCAGAGCAAACTCTCCAGATACAGCCGTAGTCTTCAAAACTTTCACGGTAGGCAACTGAATCCACATTAATGGTGTTGGTGTGAGTAGAAGGTCACCGTTAAAAATGCTAGAAAGCTCAGGTCTTGAAAGAAAATCAGCTGATAAATTGGTCTTTCAATCAGCCCTTAGGCACGGGAATTCAGGCCGCAATCTAACTGTCAAACATAGGACAGCTCCACTTTAATGTACTCAAAAATCTGAGAAGACTATCACCGTTCCAGATGGTTCTCCCATAACCATAAACCAAAAACACAGTTCTAGCCTTCTTCCCAGTCTGTAAAACAAAAAGTGACGAAATAACTTGGGAAGAGTTAAACAATAAGCTCAAACTTCCCAAAGTTGAGCCACCAACAGTTACAGGACCTATTTGATGGAAGAATACCAAACATGGAAATAATCCAACACTCCTTCGCCTAACGTCTGCAAACCCAACTGATATAGACGTTTTTCTGCTGGCCACTCGCTTGCCAAAATCAGAATGGGATAAGAGTATATTGTTTGATAAACCATATTCTGAGCACAATTTTATTAAAAACACCCTAAACTGATTACGTGAGAGGTCGTTTAACGGAATAAATATGGTTGCGTAAGATGTCCCAGAAAACACAGACCCTGACTATGCAGACTATGATATTTTGAACTAACTATTTATGACAGTTATAAGTACTCAAAGTAATGTGCTAACAATTCCCGATAGAGTGCAATCCAAAGCAGGTTAATCAACGTGAACACAACTGAACACATTATATTTGGAATTTGCGATTTGGTGTATCAGAAACAGCCCTATCTAAACAAGGACACCTCCTGGCTCCGGTATAGTTCATATCGCTGTGATAGTAGTAGTAGTAGTTGTTGTTTTTGTTGTTGTTGTTGTTGTAATATTAGTAGCTTCAATCTTGGCGAAATCCCCCAGTGTGATGTCTTTACACTCTCTTTGTATGTTCCGCTGTTCGAGTAAGACATGAATGAGTCAGGAGGCAATTGGCCTTCTTCCGTTGCCCAGTAGGAATGATGATGTAGACTGGACATTTAACATGAGTACTGATGGTGAAGAATATGCCAGTGTTGTAAGTTCTGCTATTGGACGAGCTAAACACCTGATTACAAAGCATGGAAAACGGAGATCTCTTCCGAAACTAATGAAGAGTTAAATACCATTAGATATTGATGCTCAGGATCATAAAGCAGTGATCGAAGACCTCGATAATACCGTCAGCATCTCAAACATTCTTGATATGACATCCTTGATTGATGACAAAGGTAGTGTTGAAACAATGAAGAGAAAGAAAAACAGACATAAACAATACCTGTTAGGTTAACTAGTCTTTTAAGGACTAACACTCTGAGTCATTGAATGGTCCACAAAATTCCAAATGAAGATAGTACCTAACCATAGTGTGGTTGTACAACATTCATCGTCACTGGATATAAATATGAGCGATTTGCACGAACCAAGCGACTCTGATCCAAAAATAGCTAAAAAGAAAGCTCCCGGTAGTTAGCATGCGGGAAATGATATCACTATCGAGAGCCGTGAACACCACTTTCAAAGACGTCACATCGGTTTCTATTTGGAATCTGGAGGATCTGAAGTTACAGGAATCCACCATCGGAAATGCACTGCAAGAATAGGTTTCCGGAGTATCATTAAATTAATAACACTCGGTAGGTGAGTTGGAGGAGAGACCCTACCAAAAAGGATCTTGGAGTTATACCAAACAGCGCATAAATCCCCGTAATTCGAATGTTTGTATGGACTACATTGGCCACCTGAGGGTCGAATTAAGTGAAAGAATGTCCTTACTGAGTCAAAAACGTGAAAGTGAGACGGTAAAAAAATCCTAACATTCAGGATTCTCTGGTAGTCAGGTCTTGAAAACCAATGATGCCCAGACAAGTATCAGTAAGACGAGTCATCCTCAAAACTATTTAGAAGTGCATAATAAAAACGCCTGCAATCTTAGAACTAAAATATCCGGGCCATAAAACAGTTGTTGTCACAGTAATTTGGCTCATCGTAGATATAGACTGTTCTCGGTTTGTATTAGAAATGATAGAGTTATGGACCGCAAGGGAAATGACATGATGTTATGTGTTCGCGAGGTCTGAAGATATTACGAGTTCACTTAGTATGCGAACGGAACAAAGACTTGTGACCGTAGACCAATAAGCTAGCTATTTGTTGCGTCCCAACCCCCCCCCCAACTAGAGGGAGAATTCCAAGCTTGGAACGTAAAAGTATATTCCGTAAGCCAGAAGCACGAGTGAATAATAACAGACACGAATCAAACGTTTATATACGGCATAAAACTGTCCTTGGGAAGCGTAGCAAAAAGAGCACACTAGAAATACACAGCGGACTAATAGTGTTGAAGATTCTCCCAAGTGGAGATACGACATAAAGGTGAAAAGTGTGCTCTTGGCGCGAAAACAAGGAAATTTAAATTTTCAAAATATAATTATAAAATTAAGGCATTTACCAAGTGAGTTCTGGGGATCTAACATCCCCAACTGTGTTAGAGATCAATTCTATCTGCATTCGGGCACATCAGAGATGCATGATGGGGGAACATATGAGGTAGTTTTAAGCACAAATAAATTAAGACATGGGTTAGTGGCTAAAGAAGGAATATACCTCAGCCCATGTTCCCATGATAACTACTTGTATTGAGTCATGTCTGTTCTTGTAGTAAGACTCGATCTTCAAGCTGACATAGGCTACTTAACTAGATGGTCTCAAAGTTGGGGCCTAAAGATTGACTTTAGAATTAGTGTGCCAATACAAATCCAACGCAGCAATAATCCTCACTAGCAGTATAGGGTTGTGTAAATTGCTGAGTTGTAATTGAGGTCGTGAATCAATCTGTCTTAGACAATCAATGAAAACCTGAAAGCACTGGGCGGCCTCTTTGTCCTAGTACGGGATACTTCTGCAGTGTACGTCCGCATAATTATTATCATGAACTCACTAGTAGCTAGGATCGAGAGGCCATTTACAGAGTTCTAGTGAGGAGCCGTGACCAACAGAGTTCAGCTGTGTCGCGTGTGAGGCACTTACTCACTGGAGACGATGGAAGATGTTCGTGCAATACCGTGGATTGTTTGGAGTTAGACATTAACACCCGTGGATCCCTGCTCAGTGGTCTAAAGGTTAAGCGTGTAGCGTGGTGCCGAGTAGCGTTTAACTATGAACACCACTACAAGAAGACTACGTGCCAGTTAAGTGAGGAAATCCCCCGTAAATCAAATGTCAGAAGGCCGTTGATGGCTGTAGTCGAGATGTATTTGTTGGCGATCTCGTGGATATCGAAAGGATACCGAGATCGTGCCAAAGGAGTACAAGCGTGGTTACCGAGCGTAACCGAACCCGTGCAATGTCACAATGGAAAAATAATGAAGGGGTAATACGGCTGTCTTTAGCACAGTTAAGCAAACGAGCACAATAAAACAATCACTGGTACAATTGGTTAGAATAACAAATGTTTCAAATAAATCAATCGCGTTCTCTTGGTAAAAGTAGGTCACTACAAGCGTTCACACGCGAGACTGAGGGTACCAGATCCGAGTTCCGCGTGCAGAATCGCGGATGCGCACTTCTATGTAGTCTCATACTTGAACGAGACGGCCTTCCAGTGCGGTCTAATACCGATCGGCCCATGATCTCAATTAAAACTACTAATATGCCGCCAACAGCACATCGCCCTCATGAGTGCAGAAGCACAAAGACTTAAGGGCAATAACAAGTCATGACCTAAAAACAACTGCTCATTCCAACGCAGCAGCTTCGAAAGATTCTTGAGCGTCTCGATCACTTCGCCAAGCATTCATATGGTAAGGCGAGATGTTGCGGGTTTTATATCCCGTCTATGTAAGAGTACTGTGTTCAAACAGCCAGTCCATGCCTCATAAAGGATATTAACAAACTCGAGCGTACGTATTGCGTAAAAACAAAGTTGATGAAGAGTCTCTTCAGGCTACTTCAAGAAGAGCGCTCAAAACGCCTAAACTTTTTCCTTTATTGTATCGTAGGTCGCGAAGTGACCTTATATCAGCACTCCATATTTTTAATAATGATTTAGGTATAAAGCAAAAACTAACACAGGTCCAAAGACCCACCATTTATACTACTGAGGACTCTTACTCTAACTACTGAGAAAATACATTTGGAATGAATTTTGCGCTCGTAACCCTGAAGTGCAATTTTGACCAGTTTGACTGAAGAACTTCCAACTTAATCTTCAACAGTTTTATTTGACTCCATTTAGGGTATGGAAGTGCAGTATTTCCTCTCTTAGTTCAAAAGGATAAAAAAACACTGAAACGTATCCAACAGTGGGCCATGAAATCAGTTCGGGGACTCAAATTCAATGCTCACTTGGGGGGCCTCCAATCACTTAACCTTTACTCATCAGGGTATAGACATCTTGGAGGTGACTTTCTGATGATCTACAGTATCCTAAGCACTTTTGTGCATCCTTCTTAATACTTACTTAACCTCAGCCTCAATAAACCTTGGGGGTAACACCCAGAGACGGAAAACAATATAGCAGAAAAAACTAGACACACCTTCTACTCCTCAAGAGTAGTCAAGTGCTGGAATTAACTGATGAACGAGCTAGTCCAGATGACTCTCAGGAAACCATTAAGATAAAGCTTGACATATTCTGAAGGACAAAGGACAGTATCTCACTAAAATTTACTAATAATTCGATTTTTATCGTTAAGTATACCTATGGGCCTATCTGAGGACATCGGTGATACACTGCTAATAAATATGGAAACCCGTTAAGCAGAAGATTTTCCTATTTCGTCTAGAACCATTTGAACCATTTAAAGATTTCAAATACGTAACAATACTACATTTGCACTCTGGCGTTATTATGAACCTTAATGGTTCGGTTACCTAGTTGCATTGTTCGTCCAAGTATGTACACACTTTGTATTATGGTCAGTTCACTGTAAGTATTCACGAAATTCTCCTAGAAATACGTAGATTACCATGAATAAGTCAGAAAAGTTTTCATCTTCAGTGGTCTACCTAATTAACCAAGGGAAATGTCTATTTTAGCCATTATAGTGGCTATCTCTATGCTTATAAGCATAGAGATATTTCAGTATTGATGGTAGAAGCCTAGGTGAACTTTAAAAGTGAAATCAGCAAGTCAAGTCACCTCTACTAATCTTCATGGTTGGTAGTGCTTCGTAGATTAATTAATTCATCTCACGTGAAACGTGACGTACGCCCGATACATCGACAGAAAGTGCTTGTAATGACTTTTTTGGTGGTGAATCCCAGTAAACAATGCTCCATGTATAAGTAATTTGGTCTTAGTTCTCGAAGATATTGAGATTATTCTATGTAATAACTACATGAAATAAATCAAGGAAAAACAGGTCTGTATCAGCGCTCACAATTCATAGTACCATAAGGAACCAATCCTACCTCAAACGTATCTAAAGATGCTAACATCCTTGTGTTGGCAGAAAACTACAGTAATTTTTGACTCTACATAACATAACACTGAATAAAGCTATTTATAATGTTAAAATAATCTCCAGACGTAGGCCTATGTTTTCTAGACGATTTAATCTCGGTCTGTAAAATTTTATTACTAGCTGTACTCAAGGACAAATCAAAGCTCATGCAGTTAACTTGGACCTTTTCAGAGTATGGGCTAAAGCTGCTAAAACTTTTAACAGTCAGATTTCTCTTACTCGAATAATTTCTGCATTTTGTTGACTCGAATCATCACAATATATGAGGAACGTTTCATTGTCCGTGAAAACATGGTTAGTCCTCACTGTCTCATTAAATGATAACAATCTCCATATTCTACTAAGAACTTGTAGCACTTCTTCGCTTTTTTGTATTTGTCCTCATTGTTCCTTATTGCGGTTATTTGATTTTACGATCATTACATCACACAATTTAGCAGTCGAAGTATAATTGAATTGACTAACTCACGTGTTAAAATAAAAATGTTAGGCATTAAGAGATATTCTAATTGTCAACATTTACATGAAAGTTCACTGTATTTGATTTATTCCAAAATATTCACTTTTTCTGTCTTAGGTTAATTTCCTACGCGTAATCAGAAATACTGTTGTCACTTGGTCTCTGTGTCTTCTCAACATTCCCCTAACCAATTCGTTTTTCGGACGCATTTTTCTGTATTCATATGGAGAAGGAACATCGCGACGTCATTAGGAAGCTGCGTGTTTTTCTTGTAAAAAATATTTCCAACCTTGAAGAAATCCTCGATATACTGGAATCCGCACTAATTATTACTGAAAATCAACGGCACTCAATACTCTTTGGAACAACATTAGCTGAAAAGATACGTAGATTCTTAGATATTATAGTCAGATGTGGCCCATCAGCATATGACAAGTTTAAGCAAGCTCTTCTAGAAACCAACCAAAAGAGTATATATGATCGTTTGAACGAAACAGAGGAACTAAAAGTCCTAGCTGGTCATGGTATATCATCAGAACGCTTATCTGATACAAGAGATGAATCCATTATGATCCCAGATAGAGTTAGCTCACATCCGTTGACACCCTACACTGTAACTTCGTTCCCGCGTGGTTACGTTCTCATAATAAATATAGAAGATTACAGTTGTGAATCCGGAGTACCTAATCGTCATGGTTCGTCACACGATGCATCTAAACTCCAAATTCTATTTGAGGACTTTATGTATAGTGTTGCTGTCATTAAAAATCTAGAGGGTGAAAAGCTGAAAAAAGTAGTGCGAGAATTCGCTTGCAAACCAGAGCATAGTAACGTACATGCGGCTGTCCTTATTATTTTAGCACATGGGTTAGAACATCATATTATAGCAAGTGACGGCACCCATGTAAGCATTGACGAACTTGTTAGTTGTTTTACTAACAAAAAATGCCCTCTTCTAGCTGGAAAACCTAAACTCATACTTATACAAGCCTGTAGAGGTGAAGAACGTAATCATAATGCTCTTGTAAAGCGTGATTTTCTAGACTCTCTACCATCAAACTTTTGTGAAGTTTCATTAGATCCCAGCTCTTGGCTGTCGCTGCCACATATGAGTGACTGTGTAATTGTGTATTCTACCTTACCTGGATTTGTATCTTGGCGGTCTGAAATAGAGGGGAGTTGGTATGTAAAAGTGTTTGTCGAGGTAACAAGGTTGCATGGGCACAGGCTTCACATTCTTGAACTGTTGACAGAAGTCAACAATAGGCTTGTGTCAGAGGCGTCAAACTATGGCATCAAACAAATATCACAACCAGTAACAACGCTAACTAAGCCTTACTATTTGTCCACTCTGAACACTTGAAAAATTTATTGTATCCAGAAATATAGTAATCTACTTTCATCCCATTGCTACTAGCTTCATTCTCTACGGAACTTGTGGTATAAGATCTTACTTTGATTGTAATTAGGCGTATCAATGCATGGGCATTCGAAATATTTCTTAATAAATAAAGCTTTCCTCCTAGCATATTTCGTATCTACCCATTTTCGCTTATGTTGGAGCGTCGTTAAAGCGAGTATGCTCAATAGTTTACGGTACGGTCCATCAGAACAGCTAGATATGCTGCTTACAACTCAGCATAACATAACTAGGTGGTTTGTCGGTCCGTGTTTGCGAGAGACGGTTAGTATGCTGCTCAAATGCTTTCGCCGGTGTGAAATTACCTTACACAGTAGATAAATCGAATATGGACTTCTGGACGCATATATATAAGCCCATACGCAAACTACATGGCTCGTAATTCTTTAATAGTGTTTAAACACGTAATTTCGACTTTCTGTTACGAACAGGTACTGGGACTTGATTTACCTATCTCCGAACATATTTCGTTTTGATAATATTCTTAAATCTTGTTTATGACAGAACTGCTTTCGTCTGTATTTTTGCGCAGCCTAAAGAGGTACACTTTACGACAACAGTAGACAAAATCCCGAAAAGTATGAAAACTCATCGCAATTATCTTTTTATATCACTCAGGAGAAATTACAAAGAAAATCTGGAAGTAACTATATACAATAACCTTGTGAGAAGTAATGTTTGAAAAAGAAATTTACAAAGTCAAAAGATTAAGTCAGTACTGAGCACGGGTCATCAACTCAGCAAATGTAACAGGAAGCCAGCCACCATCACTGGGATTGTACACATAACTGACGTTGCGGTCGAAAAACACTTGTAATGATTCCAGTCTGTATACTTGCTGACCTTCGAACATCCTGTTTGAAATAGGATGGAATAAGAAGCCGCGCTGCGCTGCTACTTGTTCAACTTGTTTACGTAGTGTTGTCGGAGGAGGAGCAACCAAAGGTGTTGATGATCCAAAAGCTGGCGGAAGTACGCCTGATGAGCCAGCAGGATACCTTGACACATCTGACTGACCTTGCTTTGAGACCTGAGGTTCCTAAATAAAGTGCGGATTCCCAGAAGTACAGAAGACTTAAAGCAAGTTAGAAGTTTATCTTAAGTCTACAAATAATACATTTTTTTCCAGACTAGACTACTACCATTATCTGGTACTCTTGGGAGATGTCAGCAGTATTGTTTAGCAAAATGACTTAGCAAACAGTAATTACTTTGTAAGTTACGTACTCTTAGATTACGTGTTTCCTGACATTTAGGAAATGCGTACGTATAATTAGAAGTTACATATTTGCATCGCAGAAAGCCTCGTTACGTAATCATTGTGGATGTAATTGATACATTTTGCGATCTTATAATTGATTTAAAATTATGTCAAGAGTGAGAGATCCATGGTTAAATTAAATGAACTATTTTACTTGACAAACAACATTTGTCTAAATTTTTGAAAGCCATTAGAGTTTAGGTAATGGTATTTTGAGTTTCCCTACTTTTTAATGGAATTCTTGCATCGCATATCCACCTGAACTTTGTGAATATACAATTAAGAAGAACTTATGGTTAAGAAGCCACCTAAGTAACTCAACAAACAGTATTTAAAATGACATCTCAAAGAATCCAAACCCATAATAACTTACTTGAGGCGGTAACCCTCTCATTGAACGTTCCATCATTGCCAAAGCTTTTGTCAAAGCATCTTTGACACTTGCATATTCCATACACTCAGGAGGTAACTGACCTTTCCAACCAGCATACCAACGGCCAACTTCTTGATAAACTTGACCGGCAGCAGTGTGGTCTCCACGTTGCCTAGCTTCTACCCCCTGATTCAGCCAACTTGAAAGGACTGACAGCCAACGTGACCAGAAATGATGTTCAAGTAGGTTTACAAGTACAGCCGGACCAATCAAGTCTGCCCAACGCATCACCCAATTCCACGGATCCATGTTTTGCTTAGCGGGATTAAGCTAAATATTAGAATTTTTCGAAAAAAATATTGCATAGAAACTCGACATCAGAGGTATGATCATAAATAAATACCTAAACTGTATATTATGTGAAAACCCCTTAGGATTTAGTTGAGAGGTGCAACAACAGTAATAATTAAAATGTCAGTAAAAAAGGTATTGTCAGTCCATTTGTAAGTTTTAGCTTCCAATCAAATGTTTTGTTGTCAGTATTTTCGAAATTATGTGTAGGACTACATTTTATCATAACATAAAATGTACTAGGCTTGTATACATTTGCCAGACTGAGCAGAATTTTCTTATACCTACTATTTGTAGCTTAGCATACACGCAGTGTTGATAATTTATTCATATTACTGCGTGTCTGAGATATTTTTATCGTGTTCAAGTAGATGACATCTGATTATCATAGGATTTCCTTTTCGTATGTTTCAATTACATACTAAGAAAGGGTGTCAAACGATGCATGTGTTTAGTTCCTAACGATAATTAATACGTAAAATGGAGTTATGTATGCAGAAACCTCAGCAATTGAAGTTAAACAGTCACAAATATTTTATCAGTAATCTTCAGAGAAATTCATGCCATATTTGGTACACAAAATATGGTAGATTCAAGCACCAGAAATTCATGCGCCACATAAATAAGGGATAAAGTTCATATAGGAAAGTGAACAATAATATAATAAGAGATATAATTCAGTTAGGAATACAACCAAGAGATTCCCAGTAAACAAAGTTCGTCTTTTATTCAGATCTTCATAAATAATGTTACTCCGAATATCACATATTTGGCGATCATAATTTCTGAGTGTAAGCGTTCGTTTAGATTTTGGTGAAGGTTATTGTAAACTAAAATATACTGTTATAAAAAACGATAATAAATAGTTAAGACATTAAACTAAAGGACAACACTTATTTTAAAAGCTGATAATAGATTACTTGCACCACAAAGGAATTATAAAGAGAGTAGTCAACCTATTACTTACAATGAAATGAGAAGTATACCACCGCACTGAGTTTATTAGGAGCCAACTAAGAAAAAGATTCTGTGGATGCATTGACCAGTTAACAGGTGATATTTAGCGATCAAATTAAAAAGCTTGTTAAGGCCAAACTATTGTAAATAAACGGGTAAAAACTAACTTGAAACTGTTGCAACGCTAAAGCAAGTTTCGGCACCACATGGCGACTTAAGAAAGCTGCCATGGACGTGACCGGGAAAATGGTTCGCCAAGGCATTAGGACTGAGCGGGCAGATGCATCACTAGGATGCCAGTTGGTAAGGCAACTTCCTAACTTCTGGAGAACCATATCATGCAAACACGCGAGACGTTCAACTCCTCCAAACCAAGGTAGCCAGGGATGCAACCAAGTGTGAACAGGTACTGTATCAGTTAACGGATTCCATGAGGAAACAGCATCCTAAAAGTTGGACGTGTTTAGAAATAACATAGTAAGAAGGAATTACGGAATCATTCGAGAAGTTAGTAAGTAATACTGTGTCACTACTTTGTCTTAAAAAAAAAGACTCACTATTTACAAGTCAAGCGCTTTAATAAATACCACATACAATACAAAAGTACACTCAACATTTACCTTAGCTGTGAATCAAACATGCGCTAATATATGAAGTTTAGCGTTAACCGAATTAAATTGGTCAAAACTTCGAACCAAGTTAACGAAGATGATTGTGACATTGGTATCTGCTGAATAAATTTGTATGCATATCTGTAGTTTTCCGGAGAAAAATGTAAAAACCAACAACTACAGATCTTGGTTGACAGAAACACCAGGAGTACTGAATGCATTTTTTTTACAAAACATTGAGTCTTGAAGTTCTATGATACCTGGGTTTGTTTTGTTAAAGTCTACTCCTTTTATAACGTTGTAATGTGAATTACCCAGGAATTTCGAAGTTGAGTAGGTAAACTATGTAATTATATCAAGTAGTAAAACTAAGATGGAAAGGATCGTTTTTAGACAAAAGTAAAATTAAGACCAAGACAGACTGATTCATTAAAATCTCTATTTAAATAAAGTTTTACTTTATGGAATCAATACACGTCATAAATTTATAGTGTGATAACTTGGATCCACTGCGCATATGCTCACGACTGATTAAATATAAAATATAGCAATATACAAATAACCGCAAACTGAAAGTGGCCTTTGGATACCTTTTATTTTAGGCTACGGATAAGCAGTTCACTGAAAATAAGGTAAAATAACTAATTAAAACTAAACAGCAAGTATTAAATACTTATGACAATTGTAGTAAATGTGCGATATCAACGAACAATGGCAGAGGAAGCTATCGAAATCTAAATTCAACGAACCTGTAATTTTGGAAGAATCAGTTGGTCGAGTATTTTGCGCTGCAACATATCATCCGGTAACAAAGGTTGCCAGGCTTCGAGAACCTCCAAGAGAGGTTCGCAGTCTCGAGGATTCCATTCGTTAACGATAGTGCGGCGTATGGCGCTCAACCAGCTTGTTTCAAGTATAACATCGAATGCGCAAGAATTTTGAAAGAAATCCCTCCAGTGTCCCAACAAATCGAGACAAAATGTAGGTTCCTAATTTGGGTACGTTAAAAGAATTAGTAATAAGGACCCACAAGACGACCGTTATACTCATTCAACGCACGAAAAACACTAGGAAAATCAAACCACAAAATAGATAAGATTATTTCTTAAATTTATTTGTGGCGCACTAACATTGTGTTGTATTGAATATTTTAAAACGCGAATAAATATATGTAACAGTGAGTGGTCATAGATATGCGTGATTCACATGTTTCATGAGCAATAAGTTGTTAAACTTTACTCGATAAACATTAAACGAGATCATCTACATAGAGCCTGTGATAGATACGCGTTGCCAAACCTGATAAGCACGAGATGAAAATAACAAAAGAGATTGAAATAATGTAGTAGCAATGACAAAAAGTAAAACCTTGGGAATATGATTTACAAGGAAAGAGTAGAAAGTTATGTATGAATGGATATTGAAATTCAAGGTCGAGAGAATGAAGCGTGAATATATCGGCGCCAGTATGTTATAACTTGTCGCTTTGTGCCCTTACCAACATATAACGTAATGATTCCGCCAATTAAATGGCAGTGATTTATCGACCGGACCAATGACGCGTAAACCCGTACGAGCAGTCTAGAGTCCTTATCCGTCCTTCTTACTGCCTAGCCTTGCCTGTTGAGTCCAGAACACCAATCTCAGCCTCTGTGATATGAATCATGTATTTCAAGCATACTGGGTTAATAATAAACCAAACAGACCACATCGTACCATAAAAACAGAAATGTTTGCTCTCATTAGGGCTTGGTCAAGCATGTACTTCAGTAAGTTGTAGCTTTCTATCGAGCTTCTCTAATGGCTGACAGCGATATGATCTAGTTGTGTATATCGTTGTTTTGATGTTGAGGCACGCTAAACTAGACAGTGTTGTTATTGCTAGTAATAACCGGTCATCTTAGGCTGACATCTCAATATTTTTCAGTTCGACCTGGTCTACAGACCTAGACGTTAAACCTGCCTGGTACTATTACTTCTGACTTTCTAATGGTTGTAATTATCCTGTAATATTTTTTTTACTCCATCTGGGCTGCAATTAGTGGAGGTGTAGGCAGAAACAATAAAGAGGGAACGGTATGTCTTTATATCTCCGAATTCTTATTGTACCATTGAGACCAGCAGCACATAAACGACTTTTGATAGGAATCTGGTCAAGAAGTCCCTATCTAGCTTTCAGGCTAGGTGACGTCAAGTGGGAAACCATGTTAGAACGCTATATGTGTATCTCGGAGACAGTATATACCGATATCAAGAGATTCCAGGGTCTTAGTTAATGATGCCTGTTGCTCGATTCGACATGCGGTCCGGATAGTGAAAGCTACAAACATGTAGTTCGGAGAGCAGTTTCAGGGGACTTGGGGTGGCATTTTGTGAACTAGAATTGTTAGCGTTGGGACATACATTGAAGCAGTTAAAGGTAGATGAGGGTCAATATTGAGAGTAGAAGTAATGTTTAGTGATGACTTTAAAAGGGCAGCATCTCTGCAGTTTCTGGTTCCCTTAGAGAAACAGCTTACTGTCGTCACATCTCTTCAGTCAGCAGCATTATTTCGCCCTCGGACCTTAATTTGCTGCTTCA